ACAGCTAGTGAACTGTCACCAAACAGCTTAAAATTAATGCTACATTAATTTCCCAGGCTGGAACACGCTGTGGAGTGTTTTGTAACTGTACATGTGTGCTAAGGGAGCCTCCCACACACTGCAATGTTTGCCTAAAGCATTTCTCTTGGTCTGGCAGTGGAGATGTTTGCATTGGCAACTCTGCCCCCTCCTCTGTGCCAGGTCCCAGTTCGAGGGAGAAGAGTGGCTGAAAATGTAGAACTTGAAATCACACACCCTTTATGAGATCCCCAGAGGTCCTGTTCTCACCCCATCAGAGCAAAGAACAGCAGTATTTAGCGTGAAAGATGCTTATAACATTTACAAAACATTCCTGGTAGAAGCTGGAACTAAATTTTTATTTTTAAAAAATAACAGAACTTAATATTTATTTGTCTGAAGGGTTTTTTTAGTCCATACTTCTCCATGACACCAATTTTCCCTCGGTAGCTGAATCAAACCCTAATCCTTAAAGGACATGAGAGCTGCAGGACTAAAGTGTTTTTCTGTCTCATGTAGGTCTCAGTTTGAGCTGACAAACACCCATAAAATGCTAGAGACAGCTGGGGTGTTAACTCACAGATACTAACAGATTAGTTGAGAAAAGCAGCTACGGCCTCCAACTGTCAGCTCTACACCTCATGCAAACGATAGCTAAAGAGCCTGGAAAGCTCCTGAACTGATCCCATTTATAAGTTTATAAGCAAAAGGTCTCATGCTGTTGACATTCATCACATTTCACAGTAGATCAGAAACTGGTGTCAAGCCTCAGGCTAGTGCAGGACCTCTGTCCAGAAGAGCTTGGCTGTGGGTCACCCACACCAACACCTGCGAGAGGATGAGCTTGGAAGGGCAGGTGGGTAATGTAAGGCAGACTGGTTTCCAGAGGATGGTGAATGGTGGCGCTTTTAAAAACTGGCTGGCGTTAAATACCCCAAACTGAAAGATGAATCAACTGCAATTTTAAAATAAATTAATTTAATGGCAGAAAAGAGATCAGGTTATTAGATGTTGAACACTTGCAATTCCCCTGGTACCAACTTACAAGGTATGGAGTCTTAGCGACCATGGGGTTTTTTGTTTGGGTTGTGGCTTTTTCCTGCCTTATCCTTTCCAGTAAGAACAGGCATGTTCTACTCTTGGGGTGTTTGTGCACACCATTACATCACAATGTCCCTTTCATGAAAAGTAAATCCTTTACTAAAGTCTCTGCTTGAGCAGGGGATAAATGAGTGACAGCAGCATACTCAGTGGAAAGAAGGAAGAGGGGCATCCATGAGCAGGTTTGTATTGTCCAGCCCCAGCCATGCCAGAAGCCCTAGAGCTGTCTTCAAAGGGGCAGTTCAGCATTCCCCACGCCCTGCGTGAAGCTCTCCAACGGTGACCTGAAAAGCTTTTCTTAAGGCTTCTACCTACACGTACTTCCTACATGTTCCCTGGGAAAATGTATTGTCTGCTATCGTTAGTAACTCTGCAGACAGCAAACCAGGCCAAAGCCTGTGATATAAAAAGTACATGAACAGATTACTTCAGAGACAACTTGATAATTTGCATATCTGGACACATCTGGGTTAGGAAAGACTCGCAACCTTTTATACATTTAATACAGCCCTTTCAAAAAAGTGAGAACACTACAGTACTTACAGATAGGAGGCTGATCTCCAAGCTAATAAGCAGCCATAAACCTGTAGATCTTGGTTAAGATTTTAAGCCAGATTCTTCTAGTGCAGAGGGCTCCTTAAGTGAAATTTAACTCCATGGAAATTAAACGCAGAACTGAGCATAGTTACTCAACTTCCCCTAGAAGAGGTTACACTTCTCTAGTATATCCACCGGCCTGAGACGCTGAAGCAAAACATCCTTTCTAGTAAGAAAAGTTACAGACAGGTAGGTGATAGGACTTCTAGGGATTGTCCTGGAGAGAGGTGTATCTACCCAAAATGAGAAAATGCAGAATACTCTGGTTCCTGTTGTCCTGAGCTGACTGTTAGGGACACAAAGCTTCTGGCAGGGCCTTGCCAAGGAATTCAAGTGAAGGGATGCGCTATAATAAATTGATCACAACAGAAAAGTGGTAAGGGGCTATAAATTCAAAGCAGTCAAATACTGCAGATGACATCAGTTCTGAAGTTAACAACTAGCACTGCGTCCAGGTCAATGACACTGACATAGAGTACTTTTTTAAAAGCAGCAGAGTTCATTGCTGCAGTCGTTCCTCCAGTGACACCTCTGCTACATCTCTGATGCCACTGGTTGGGTATTAGCTCTTTGCATTTACTGTGCAAAGCACCTCGCCTTGCATTACCTTGCAAGCAACACCTGCTCCCTTGCTGCTTCCAGGCTTGCATTCCTCTGCTGCCACCAAACTCTGATGATGAGCCTCTGGCCAAAACTCAGGGCCATTCACCTCAACACCACTCACCCTGATATACTGGTTTCCTGTAACAGAACCACCCTGTTCTGTTTGTGAAGCCCTGTGAACCCCGGTAACAAAAGGCACAGAGAAGACTACAGTTGGTACCTTTGCCTCAGGTTCTCACTTCTAAGGTTTGCACTCAAGAGCAGAAGTGGTGGGAGCAAGGCATTCCCCACTGGAGATGAATACAGTTAAGGAGCCCTGGAGCTGGCTGGGCACATGTGATACTGTGGGACCAGACAAGCTGTCTAAGGGCAAGGATGGAGCTGACCACTGGCAGGTCATGGCCACCAAGGAAGGTTGCTGATGATGGAAGAAAGGCAAATGTCACCCCCACCCTCAGGAAGGTGTTATGTGGGGTACTACAGGCTGGTTAGCCTCACCCCAGTGTGCAGGAAGGCCTTGGAGCAAGTCGTACTGGGAGACACATCCAGGCACACAAAACAGAAGCAGTGATTAAGAACAGCATGGCTTCACCAAGGCCTTTGACATCATCTCTGATAGCTAACTTGGAGCCAAACTGGTGAAATACAGAGTGAGTGGGTGGACAGCAGAGTAAAGGAAAACTGGCTGACCAACCAGGCTTAAAGGGCTGTGACAAGTAGTACAGAAACCACTCAATTTGCAAGTAATTTCTCAGGTGCTTACTCTGCCTTAAAATCACACAAGCTGCAGGCCCTTTACCTTTCAGGACTTGCAGAGTCTGGAGTTTAGCTATGAATCTTTACTCTGTATTTCTTCCCCCTTAGGTGAAACACATCGTCATTTTGGATTCCTCTTCCTTCCGTGTTTCATCATGCAAAAATCTGCTAGAACACTTCTTCCTCTAGTCATAGCTCAATGTGTAAGCTGGTTTAGGGCAAAGAAACAATATATAAATCTCCTTCACAATTACAGGAAGAAAACCAGTGCAGAATGCTGCAATAAGCCATGGCCAAAAGCTTACCAGTCAACACTGCTCAGCCAGAATCTAAAGGGTTGAGATAATGCTTGTACACCACAGAGTTCTCATCAACTCAAACATGTTTCTGAGACCTTAAGCACTCTCAGTGCACACATTTCCTTTCTGCATGGCATAACTTTATGCCCTTCCCAAGAAAGGCACCTTCAGGAACTGAAGAGCTTTGTTGTGTCCACAGAAGATAAACTTTTATGTACATAAAGTTGATATTGCTTCTTCCATAACAGCTTATGACCCTGCTGTAACAGAGCTATCATCATCCTTCCCGCACTCAGCTGTCAGGGCCCATGCGTGAGAAAGAGGACATCATGGTCAGCCATCCCAGTACCTCCCTCATGCTGTGCACGAGGTGACTGTTATCACTTTTTTGTGCTGTAGCCTGAAATAGCAGATATTGAATATACTTTTTGAACACTTGTTGATGGACAGAAATGCCTTTAGAGCAGGGGGGTTCACTCTGGGACAAAAGGAAAACTTGATTTTAACCTGTAGTTCTAAAACCAGGGAAGTTACAAGAATTAAACCACAGGCTTGTATTTCTGGGTCAAATAAAAATTCAAATACAGCTGGCTGAATAGTCTTACAGTAAGAGGAAGTCACTTGTTTCATACAAATTATTCTTTTTAATCAGATCCACAGATAAGATAGAACTACATGAAGCTCACAGCTTACCCCATCCCCTGAGCTTGCACACAAGCTGCACCAGGAAGCAGTTAAGGACCCCAGCTTTAAAAATGCAAATCAGCTCCCACAGAAGGCTACTAGTCCACTCAAAGAAAGGATATTTCTGCATTTAAAAAATGGCAAACCAAACAAATGAACACCCCATAAACTTGTAAAGAAACTTCTATGTCTTACAAGCTCATCTCCCCTAGGCAAAACACATCACTGTGGTGCAGAGCTCCTCCTTGCCAGACTCAATGGAGATGCAACACAGAATGGAATTTTCAGGCTTTCATTTTTGGCAGTTTAAGGCAAATATTTGTAGCTTGGATAGCTAAAATATTTGTACAGTGAACCCTGAATAAGAGTCTTCCACACAGCAAGCTTGTCAGAAGATACATCCCAGCATGCTGTTGTGGTGCAGACTTCCATTTCTGACACCACCTTGTCTGTTGGGCATCCTGTCAGAGCAACTTCAGGACGATGTATTTTGGCTTTTCCAAAACATAAGTAAACAGTAATTCCAACAGAGAAGTAAGTGCAGTTTGTATATAATGTGCAGTTTATACATCGAGTATTTTATTCAACGATAAAGCATCACTCTGAGTCACCTGCCTGCATGCATCAGCATGTGCTCTCAAACTAATCTGGATGGCGAAAACTCATGGTAGCTTCATGGCATGTTTTCTACTTCAAGACTCCAAACTTGACATTCTTTAGGACATCAGATGTTTTTAAAAACAGGACCTGAATCTAAGAACTGTGCAGTACAGGCTTTTATTAAAGGAGAAGAAGAAAACAGCATGAAAACCCTACCAGTCATGTCTCCTTAGTATAAAATGTTACACAACGACCAGGATCAAGTAGCACAGCAATTTATGATACTAAAAGAAAAAGCCACACCCAACCTCCCTCAAAACCCACAAATGCAGGCAAACAATGAACAATCTCAAATTATTTATTAGGAAAAGACAAAGTACTGTTTCAACATTCATACAGAACAAATGGTAATAAAACCAGGAAAATAAACTGTAAAAAGTAGGCCCATCACAGAGGAGTTGGGTTATGACAAAGTAAATGAAATCCAAACTTCCTTCATGCAAACAAGCAGTAAAGAGTTATTTACAATTTTGATGGGATGAATGACAGCATTGGCCATATTTGCGCCCCAGTCAAATTACTCAGTGACATATTAAAGGGATCTAATCTGTACATTCAATAACGAGAATCTATAAAAAGAAAAATAATTTAAACAATTTACAAGAGCTGTATTACAGATGGCATAAAGGTATCATTTACAAGAGCTGTATTAACAGGTGACACAAAGGTATTAATCAGTAATTTAGGAATAAAAAATTGTAGCACATATTTTTACATCACGTCTTCAGTGCCTGAACAGTAAACAAGAAAGTGGAGACATGAGTGCAATGTAATAGAATAAGGCAACTTAACCAAATGGCTCTTCAGAGAACTTGCATCCTACAAGGGTTTACAGTTCATAAATTTGTCTGTCCGTTTTGCTAACTAAAACAAACATTTGAAGACAGCAATTGGTGATCAGAAGGCCTGCATATGATGACACAGTAGATGGAAAATTAAATACTCATTTGTTAAAATACCAAAACTCAGGAATGTAAAAAAGTGTAGATTATCAAAAGCTCCCTATATCCTATCTCTATAACATCAACAAGCTAATCTTCATGTTCTAGATGTTGTAATTTAAAATGTCTCAAAATACTAATTCACTAGTCTTTAAATTATTTTGTAAATCACAATCTGAAACTAATACACCTCCTTCCAAAGCTTGTATTTACAATGTTTTTAAATTGATGCTAGAAGAATTGTGAAATGCTAGCAATTTATAGAAAATATTAGCAACTGACACACCATATTCCAGTTTATTTTATAGGCAAGACTAATAAACACATTTAGCTTTTAAAATTATTTTAAATGGCTGGTTTTTACATTTTCATCAACTTCCCCAAATGCTTACAGTAACGGCTGATTTTCTTGAAGTTTTAGCAGAGAACAAATGCCAATTGTTTTCTACTTGATACTATTTGTTTAAACAACTACAATGACAAGATGAAGGGTAACACTGAAATCCAGCAATGAAAAGTCATCTGCATCATAATGCACAACGGGAATGTTATGGGCCTTACAGAAAACAGCACAGGGAGCCAAACCTGCCAATGACTTGCCATATTAACAAACACGGTCCACATACTTTAAAAAAAAAAAAAAAAGGAAACTTGAAATAAGGCCAAAATATTTGTAAATGATAAAATTTAAGTCTGTCGAAAGGACCAGACCATATATATTTTATTTACAATTTCTATTTAGAATCTTTATTTTCAACAAATGATTTAGCACCAGCAGGAATATGCAAAGTAGTATTACTGTGTTCCCCAGGCAGAAGACCTTGAGGCCAGATCTTGCTCATTATTTTAAAACAGTCCCCATTTAAGAGAATCATCTACTTGACTAACTAAAGTAAGCAGGATTCGGCACTCAGTTATGCAAACCTAGACTGCTCAAACATATTCCATTAGCAATTAATAATTACAAATATATTACATCATCTTTTGAGATGTTTTCAGAAAGCATATTTTTAAGAATATTTAATATGCTTTACATGTGTGAAGTAAACAAAACTAACAAAACAGGCTTCTTTGCAGACTTTTTAAAAACTTAGAATTAGGAATTTTATCACAGATGACAGAATACTGGTGACGTACTTTGGAATACATCAGTAAAACTTAAAAGAATGTAAGGAGGGAATTATCCCTCTATACTGTGATAAAGCATTTTCTTATCTCCCATGGCCATGTCTAAGGACTTAATTCACCCATCTTATCCATGACTGTTAAGGCTGCCCCCTCTCACTGTGTTTTAATGGGAAATGGAAGAATTAATGCAACCCAAACAGTAACTGTATGTGTCAAGTGTATTCCTAGCTCTGCACTGTGACCTACAGGTCTTCTAATCTGACCCACAGGTTTTTGTTCACTTTTTAACCTAAGCAACACTCTATTACATATTACATGTTTTTTTAAGCCTACATTATAAAAAAAAAAAAGAAAAAAAAAAAAAAAGGATGTAGAAAGCCCTGTTGCTAGGAAAGCACTGACAAGGCAAAGAACTAGTCTTATTACGTGTGCAAATGGACTCAGGATAAAAATCTAACCACAGATAACTCAACAGAATCCCACTGACCTTCATTTCTGTTCTGAACTCAGCTGAACTGTTTCCTCAGGATTATAGCCATCTAGTATCCAGAACATGAACAGTAAAACTCATATTTAAAAATAGGTTGAATGCACATTTAGGCATTAATGTAAGTTAATGAATGAATGCATAAGACACCGTCTAGTCTTCAAGAAGCACAGATTTTCTCTAGATAAAAGACACTTAAATGAGTTCCAAATGTTAAAATCCCACTGTTATTCTGAACCATTTAGAAACAGTTATTACAGTTTCTCTGGAAGTAGGTATTTCCTGAAGACCTATACTGGATAGAGACAAAGAGTTAGTATTACAGCCCTTAATGCAATATAGGTGCAATGCCTTGCACCTATACTACCAACAACTCAAATGCAAGTAGGAATCTCACAGTACTACTGAAGAAATATTTAATCCATTATAAGAAGCCAGAATGGAACTTCTGTTCTTAATATACAGGCTGAGAGTAAGTGGAACAGCAAGGTCTCATATTTTTGTAACTCTCAAATTATGAATGGAGGTGTTGGTAGAATCACACAGGTGCTTGCCTGCAGAACACTATGGATAGGGAGAGATCTTCAAAAGGCAGGTCAGACATCTGAACACCCTCTGAAAATCTCAACCAAACTATAAAACAAGGAAAGTGTATCAGTGCTGTTTCTCTCTGAACTGTTAAATTTATTGAGGCTTTACTAAAAAAGAATGAAAAGGTGTTTATACATTAACCTCTGCTAGCTTTAGTAAAGAACTCTGAGGATGCCTTCACCCCAGCTTGCTAAATATTCAGAATGTATTGCAGAAGTACCCCCCTTCTTATTCAAATTGCAGTTGCCTTAAAAATAGAACTAGAAAGGTGAAAGTGGTTAAGTTTAATAGCTATACCAACTTGGAATAGTTTCATCTGAACATTAACTTATTTGCCCAGAAATAATCTGCACTTATCTGACTAAAAACCTGCATGATTTTTAGAGAGATACTGATACAATAAAACTGTGTGTAATACTTAAAAAGACCAAGCTGGAGGGATGGAGACCAAGAAACACAATCGCATTACCTCAAGATAAATAAGGGCTACAGGGATAGGAAGCCAGATACCTGATGATTTTTTCCTGGCATCTCTAGCTACACTGGATTGAAGGGATCATCTCCATGGCCAATAAAATTATCTGCCATTTCTCTGGTAAGCAACACTGGTTAGGAAACCTCATGGATAAAGGCCCAGTACCAGCAAAATTGGCATTATATGAAAAAATTAAAAGGCACTCACATGGCCAATTGAGCTGAAAACAATTACACATTCAAAATGAGCTCTACACCTTACTTTAGAAGAAAAAGTATCACACAACTTTCCTCTAGAGAAGTGGTTCCACTTGAGAAGACAACAGTAGCCCTGAGAAAACACCAAATTTTCTCTTCTGTAGTACAACACACTGTATCAATTCACTCTAAAGCTGCTTCAGCTAGTTAGCTTTGAGAAAAACAAATGGCAAGGGTGAAAGCAAAAACAAAGAGGATCACAAAAAGCAAGTTACGTCAGTGATTTGCATAAAAGAAACAAGCCTTTTCAACCTATTTAGAAGAGAATTTAGATGAAAAGACTTTTAAGGCTTATCTTGCAACTATTTGTGATGCCTAGCATTTCTACTGGTGGTAGAGTCAGTCTTTGGAGACTCTAGTAACAAATTCTAAGTTGAGAGAAAATGAGATGAAACCCAAGATGTGGCTTAAATACAGAACCCCTGGGCTTTAGAGCAGGGCTTGAAAACTTCTCTGGTTGCTCTTGTAATGAAGTAACAATCGATGCTGATCAAACTAGCAAAAGGAAGCCAATTTTTTAAGAAACTCAAGGAAGTAAAATAGAGGTAGGGCATACTTTTTGATTCTCACAGTAGTTTCCATACAGTACAGCTATTCAAGAATTACTCCATTAATTTATTTTGTAACTCTGTACAATTTACTTTAAAAATGTATCTTGGGTCCTCTCAACTTCAAATGGTTTAAATTAACCATGGTCATTAGGTAATCATCTTCTGCATGTGCTTCTGGTTAAATATACAACTTTTAACTGCTGCTTCAAGAGCAGCTCGCTCGCTCTCAGTATCACAAAATGAGAAGTGAAGTAGTAATAAATATGGTCTAAAGGAATTGTTTCTAACCAAGCTGTAGTAGTATATGTCTTAAAGTACCTTACTTTGCAAGAAAAATACGCAGCTGGTTTGCAAGATTTTCAGGAGGCTGTCAAAACATTCAGAAAATGAAGTTTTAAGAAAGTTTTATAACCAAATAAAGGTTACTTTCTATAGTCACTTGTAACTTAAAAGAAACAATATACAGCATTTATAAAGACATTCTATAAAAATCATATTCACTTATTTTCTGAAGTTCTCCGATTTAGCATCAGATCAGTTGAACTGTGAGTGGAATTTTTGTTTGCTTTTTTATTTCTAAAATTAAATATCAAAGCAAGCACAATGAAAACGCAGTATGAGTACCCGGAAAAGCAACAATAAATGGAACTGCATTTGCGATTGGCATTGGGCTTAATGAATTGGCTACTTACTCTAAGTTACTGCATTCTTAAAGTACCACAGAAATTTTTGTAAAAAACCCATATGATGTTAGTATGGGGCTTTGAATTTTAAGAAAAGAGAAGACTGAAAATAGCACGTAGGGGTTTCTAACACACTAGGTGGATATGTCTGTGAATACAACACAGCCATGCTGTGGAATACTTGAGCAATCAGCTTTAAAAATACCTTGAAACCCAAGATATGAATGTGTTCTCGTCTAGTTGCTCCTCATGCACTTATAGGAAATATTTAACATTAAAATGGTATCATAAAATTGGGTAGCTCTTTAGTCTGCAAAGAGTCATATAGCTGTATAATACTCTTACAAGTTTAAGATCTCATGCCCTGGCTTCAGGACTAAACTTATTACAGTAATCACAACTGTAAATTTTAAAAGTATACAGAAAAACCCAAAGATCAGTTCCAGAGTGTGGATTTTATCCCAAGGCCATAATATGATAAATGTTTCCATATTGTAAGTGCACTAAATATTGGTCCATTTGGTGCTGCAATACTATCCTCAACTTTGAAAAACAAACTTCCAAATCTAAAAGCAAGCTAATAACCTTTCATTTTCAACATTTAATTAGATTTTGATCAAGTCTTATAAAATTAAGGAGAAATCACATTTTCAGATTAGTAGGACGGAGCAGAAATATTCCAAAGTTCCACAGAAATAATCCAAAGCATCAGAATTATGAGGTCCCATCTTTAGTCTGTTTTATAAGGATTTTGTCAATTCTCTCAAGCTTTGTGGTACCTTTACAAATAATGATGTATGACATCAGAATTTATAAGAGAAGAGACACAAAAAAACCCCAGAAGACATTTTGGAAGTCATGTCCTCAAAAAAAACAAACCAACCCCAATGCCCAAAACATGCCTTCATTTTCCAAATCCAACCAAGGACAGAGGGGATCTTCCCAGAATACCAACTGCATCTTCAAATAAATAAAACAGGGCAAGTGAATATCTTGACAAAACCTTCAAAGCATCAACTGCTCAATCTGCTGCTTTGGCTGATTTTTTGTCTTTCTATTCTTCCCACTGAAAATTAAAGCATTAATATTATTTCTATTACACATGAAAATAAAACAATTACTATCCTTACTGTGGGAAGCAGTTGTCTACAGTTTCCTCACTTTGTAGAAAGTACCTTACTGGTTTGGCATTCCTTCTTTTGGAAGTTTGTTTTCAAAGGGTGTATTGCATATCAGAAGTTCCAGACTGGCTACATGTACCAAAGAACATAAACAATATCCCCTAACAGTTAATTTTTCAATGCCCAACAGAGTGAAACCCCCTTCTTTATAATGGCAATATTCAGTAGCTAATCACGTCTTAAAAACACAGTTACAGAAAATCTGCTATTTTCTTCTCCCCTCCCCAGATTTAGTTCCCATTGATATAAACAAGTGTCATTCAGGTGGAAAGTAGTTCAGTGTAGTGACATCTGGTATCTCAACTGAAATTTGGCAGCCCAAGAAGAGCACCAACAGCTCCAAAGTATCCCTGTTCAAAACAAACAAAAAATATTTCAGGTTCAAGTAGGGTATCGAATTCTGCACTGATCACATTTCAAAGACAAAAAAGAATCTAGTGGACCAATGCTACAGAGAGGACACCGTATACTTTCAATACATAATCTTTCATAATCATTTTTTAAAGCTTTGTGAAACAAACATTTTATCTTTCTTATCTAGCTTAACTTGAAGAAATTTCACCCCAAGCCTCTCCATACACTGCAGGACTTCTAAGACATGTATCCGTGACTCCTAAAACACAGAAATCAGGTTTGCTTTGTTTTTCCTAGAGGAGTTGCATATTTTGGTTGCCAAAGGATCTTCAACGTCCATAGCAACACTGTTCCTAAGGTACAAGTCAAAAATCCTTTAACTGCACCTCACATTTTTTAAAAAAAGTACACCCAAGCTTCGACACCATTTTTTGGACTGTATACTTGTGTGCATACAAAGAACGACATTCTCCTGTTGGATTACTTTTCCCCTCTGGGGAAGTGAGATGTTCGTCCTCCCTATAACTATGAAATATGGAAGTGTTTGGAACCTACACTTGACCAAATGCAAGAATTTAAAATTTATCCAAGAAAAATGTGAAGGGGGTAGAACTAACAAGGAACCATTCTGCTATTACTGCAGACACTAGCACCAAGACAGACTACTGTCAGTCTCTGGATAAGCAATAAAGGGAATAAGTTATGAGAATCAATTGAAGGAGAACAGAGTAACGCTGTAATATCTGCAGACCAATAAACTGAGGAAAAAAATTGCCAGCCCACTGCCAAGAAGCTGCAAGTCTCCTAGTTGTTGCACCTGTAATTAATAGGGGTTGCCTATATTTTAAGCAAAACAGGTCAACTCTCAGCATTATATACTGATCTAAATTGGAGTAGCAGGTTAGTCTCAGAGCATAATATCACTATAACAACTTTAAGATGTCTCTGTGGGGGTGTGAAAGCAATGCTTAAAAGCAGTCTCGACTTTGAGGATGTTGCTCAAGCTCAGTTGAGAACAATGTAAGTATTTCAAAGGCCCATGCTTTAGATCTCTCTGGAATTTTTTTGAAATACAATACTTACTATTGTTTCCACTCAAAACCAAGGAAAGACTGTTGAACCTTAGTGCACAGCTTAACATTTTCTTGTCCCTCTCCAAAGATCTGTAGTGTAACCTGATATACCCCAAAGTGACTGAAGTACTTCCCTGGCAGAGTGAGCTGACCCCAGAGAACCAATACAGTATGACAAACCTCTTATTTTCAATGTTTACTAAGTACTTGGCATCTCAGGATATCACACATATGAGAGCTACTCAATACATGCGTTTCTGATTTATGGTAAAACAGTACATACAGATAAATGAACCATAGCATACCTCATGTTCTAGGAACAAGGCCTTCAGCTGGCCTTTTGACCAGTAATCCAGTGCATATGCCAGAAGCTTCATTGACAAAGTATTCACACGTAAAAAATTGCCAACAAACACAACTCTGTTTATTTTCTAAAACAAGAAAAACAGCAAAAGATTAAGTCTTTTCACTGTTTAATACAGTTTTGAAAAATGAAGCTATGAAAGAACAGACTGTCTCAAGGGAAAAAACCCCAAACCAAAAATGAACAACCTACAAGTATAACATGGTTCCAAAATTTAAAACACAGCATATTTGGGGGAAAGGAAAAACTGTGCAAGCCTCAAGAATTAAAGGACTCAATTTACAGAGAAATAGCATTTGTGTTTCAAATTAAGTAACCATTTTCAGTAATTAGGCTTAAGAAACAGCCTAGCTAAAAATAAGATAAAAATGAAAAATACTTGTATTTGGTAGAGAAGACTCAATGCCTTCATAGCCCTGTACAATGCTGCTTGATCCATATGCAACAAGGCAGCACTGTAAAGAAGCCGAAGACAATAAGACATAACAGATGTTCCCTTCATCTTCAGGCTTCAATATACCTCAGAATAACATTAAACTAAGACTTAAATACTGGAAGTGAGCTGTGAATTTTGATCAAGTCAAATGTAAAAAAGTGTAAATCATTTAATCTTCCCCATTCACTGAAATGAATCCAACATTACACGGAAGCAACATTGAACACTGGCTTAATGATACAAGAGTAAGAACAAAAGAAAATTTATTCGTGTTAGTGCTTAAAAAAAGTGCTTAATTATGTTAGATGAATACTTGTATCCAAGTTGTTATATAAATTAGTATAACAATTCAACCTGTAGTTAAATGACTAACATGTAACTGTTTTTCACCATTTTGATTAGTTCACAGTGAAGACACTGTTAAGACACCCAAACATAATTCTCTCTAGCAGGAAGCTAAAATAATTAATTTTATCCTTATACATCAGTTCAAGACGTTAGTTCATGTATTCCTATTAACTATTTCTTATGATTTGGAGTTCTGTGACATATTTGGAATTAGACCAAACCAATTTTGAATAAAGCTAATCTATGCAGTTTACAAGTTCTGATTTGTACTCATTTACCCCACTCTTAAATATCAGTTGCATACATTTGCCTCAGATTCAGAGTATTAGTATGTACTTTCAACTTCACCCTTACTATAACTCTTTTGTTATCAAGCTTCGCCATAAAGCAAAAAAGCCAAAATTAACTTAATACCCACAAAATTAACTTCTCCAAGACAGACATGAGAGAAAGAGAGAGAAGGAAATTGAGGGAGAGCTTGCAATATTAAAACAGCAACAACAAAAATTAGTTTGGCTCCTAAGAAAAAGGAGGGTTACCGCCGCTAACAAGGTTGATATTTCTGAGACTATCACATCCATAGATTTTAAGCAGAGCTCTAAATATAGTTACTCTTAGTTTTCCCTATGAAGCCTCACTTTATCCAAAGTTTGTTGGTAATGAATGAGGAAAACCCTGGGTGATCTGACACCTATATCTGGTAGGCCTAAATTCAGTATCAATCCACAGGTTCCTGCCTGTCCAGGCTAATCATAGTGAAACTGAACACGTACTGGCTCTGAGAAATAGAAGATGGCAGGAAACTGTCTCCATATCAGCAGTAAAAAGATAGGTGTCAAAACAATTTTAAGTCTCAAGAGTTGGTAAAAATTAAAAATGTTTAACTGCAAGCAAGGCTTTCTATGAGCTTTAATCAGAGAATAACTTCAGCTTGAAGAAACTGCTCGAGGCCATGAGGTCCCATGCATAGCTCAAAGCAGGTATTTCAGCAACTTAAATGTTGAAGTTGCTCAAGTCGCATGTTTTGAAACTCTCTAAGGACACAGGGTCCAGTCCTTCTCTGAGTCCATATTTCAGGGCTTAACCACTCTCATTGTATCTTTTCTCCCTTATACCAATCAGAATTCCCTTTGCTAGAAGTTGCATCCATTGCTTCCTGTCCTGCTCCGCACAGCTGTACTGGGCAGTGTCTTCCCTGTCACCCTCACCAGACAGTGACAGCCATTCCATGCTTCAGCTTCTTCCTCAGGTTTAACCCAGATCCCTCCATGTCTGCTCCTATGTTAGGTGCTCCAGGGCAGGGCCCTGTCTGGGTAACCTGTCTGTTACACCCCTTTTAGTCTGTCGGTGCTTCTCCCTGGGTGATGGTGGTGGTTGGAGAGGAGACAGGGAAAGAGGTAACACCCAGAATATCACCTCCTCTGCCTTGCTGGCTATGTCCTTGCTAATGCATCTCAGTACAAGGTCAGCCTTCCCCACTGCACATGTACCCTGCTGATTCATGTTCAGCTCAACTTGTCTGTCTGCACCTTCCTCTCTTCTGCAATGCTACTCCCTATCTCACCTTTTGCTTTTGCTGTGAGGATGCTATCCTGGAAGATCAAGGAGCTATTCTGGACTTCTTATGACATTGGGATAACTACCACAAGATCTCGCTTCCTAAATGCCCCCCCAAACCAGAATCCTGTTCTACTCAAGTCCATTGAGAGTCTCCATTCTGCTACCTGCCTTCTTCACTTTCCTTGGGATTTTAAATTCTACTATTTCAAGGCTGTCACTAAAATCCCTGACCAGTTCTTCACTCATGAACAGCAGGTCCAGAACAATGCCTGCCTAGTCAGCCCGCCTAGCACTTGTGTCAGAAAATTGCCCCCAGCACACTGAGAAGTATGGATTCCTTGTGATCTGCCTTCAGCAGAGGTCAGGATAGTCTTCCATGAGAACCAGGGCTTACAGGTCCTCTTGTATCCCATGCCACATGTGCTTGTGTACAAAGACTTAAATTGGGCCCACAGTCATCCTGCTTTCTCAAGAGGACTTCAGGTCCTTTCATCCAACATCCTGTGCACCCCTGCTCCCTTGCTTATCTGCAGTCTTTGGGCTCCACTCCCTAACAAAGCTAGTTGAGAAGACCTCCTCACCAGGTTACACTCCCCATTGGGAAAGACAGCCTTGTCCCACCTCTCCAAAGACAGTCAAAATATTCTGATTCAATTCCTAGTTCTTTAATTCTATATGAATTTCTTTGTTTCATTTAAAAATGTACTAAAAGGTTTAAAAATGATGTATTATTTTAGCAGTCATTTAATCTGAAGCCAAATAATTAATAGACCTATAGATAGATCATTTCCTTGTCAGAAGTTATTACCTCATTTACTGCACACATCCGGGCAATAGACCCAATGTTATTGGTGATGGTGACCAATATGGCTCTTGCAAGATCTTCTTTACTAACAGACTCTCTCTTCTCTTTGTAGATCATATTCCCAAAACTAGAACAGGAAAAATGTCCATTAAGTACCAAGTGATTCATTCGAAGTAATTTCACAATGCAATTTTTATGCTATAACAGAACTTAAATCTCATGTTTGTTCTTAAGGAGTTCCCTTTTTAAGTCTGTATTAAATACAGCAATTTGACAACCGTCACTACAATGTGTATATTTATTCTTTCACACAAAACAGTCAATCTTGTTACAATAATACCTTCAATAAAATATTTTTGTTTAGATTGTTGACTTCCATGAAGAAGCATCTACAGCAAAAAGCAGTCTTATTCTTAGGCAAGACTACTCTGCAAATCTAGTCACTGTAAGCTAAGTCAACGCATGAGTCTTCCAACTCCTCACATGTGCTTCCTCTGTGATGATACTATTCTCAAAGTAGAAATAAACCAGAGATGAGTCAAATAGTTTTATGATGAAACACAATCCTCTAAAACAGAAAATAAACAGCTGAAAGACTGCAATTTAGGTTGTATAAATTAAGAGTTCTAGATTAGAAGCATATTTCCATTACTATACACAGTAATTTTTTATGAATTGTAAAAAAATAAAGGACAAGAATCCATAGCTATGCATGATATTTTACCACTAAGGACTCTGTGCCATATCTAAGTCAGTTTGGAAAGCCAGAATCCTGATTATTCTAAAACTCAAATAGTCATTAAAGATCCTAAGTGTCTTAAAAAGTAAATGAGAACAAAAGGTACCTATATACAGAGCAAGTTAAGACGTATTGAGTAAAAGTGCACATAATAAAACCTCTCAGCGTATGCTCTCTCAAGAGGCTTGGGCTCAGCTTGCTGGAGAGCAAGAAGAATTGATAGCATAAATTGAGACCTCTTACTACTGAATAACAGCCAAGATTTAAAGAATTCTTTTATGTACATATTAGTTTCACTCCCAAAGTTTATTCTTCTTGCATTTCTTAAGAGCAGAGAAGCTGTAACATTGCCAATAATCTTCCCCCATGAAATGGAACTTGCAGTTATGACAAAAATCCTGTCATTGGCAGTAAAATAGATTCATTCTCATGGTGCAAACTGTTTATGTTCAACAGCCTTCACAAGCAAGAAAATTAGTAAAAACATTATGCGAGGTACCTGTACTGACAACCGTGTATCAAAAAAGCTCTTTCCAAAAAAATTAAGAGATATTAGCATAAGAGCAACAAGAATACTATCTTCCACTCACTTTCCCTCTGGACAACTGCCCTACTAAAACTTTCTAGGAAGACAGAAAGTAATAGGTTTTGTTTTTCCTCTGCACTTTGTTCTTGCTGCTCCTGTGATCACCTCACATTCTCTCTGACTCATGTAAAGCTGTATATGACATAACATGAGGTTTCTTCAATACCTAGCTAGAAGGCACCTGCAGTTGCATGTGGCTTTAAATCTTCATGAAAACTGAGTACTTTTAAGATAAAAATGTAACTTGACCTACAACAAAAGTTTGCAAGAACAGTTTTCTCTGTATTAATAGCTTAAGTCTTGTTTTTGAAGCCCCCTCAAACCAGCAAAAGAACCAACAAAAAGATCTCTTGCTTACCTGGATGCTACAGCCCATCCTGGCAAGCCAAATCTTTCATAGTCTCCTCCATAAATATCTCTAACCAGCTTGTCAGCGTGTGTGCTGTCTCCTTTGGATGCCATTTCCAGAGCTTCTTCAAAACTTTCACAGCCCGTCAACAAACTGCATAAACCAAGAAAGGTCCCTCCACCTAGACTAAGAAGAAGGAAAACTAATTGCTTTTAAATATTATTTCCTCACATCAAAGATTCTTATTTCTGACTAAGAAAATAAACAAACAAACCCCTCCAACTTAGATATCTAGCTGTTTGCTTTCTTGCTCAAGGTTCACTACACAAAGAGTCAATCAATTCAACATTCATATAAGTCCCTTACAAGAATCTAAGCATACAGTAAGCTCTCAAAAGGTAAGCTAGAAGACTGAATCAGAGACAAACTCCCTAAATACCCGCATCAAGCCACTGACTCTGACCCTTGATCATTTACTGTAAAACATGAGTGAACTTATTTATTCTTATGGAGCAAGAGAAACACAGGTTGACTGGATGCATTATCAAAACTTAAGATAAAATCTGTAAAACTCTCACTATGGAGCACTTCTGGCACTCACTGACTGATAAATAAGATACTAGCTAAACCTCCTCAATAACAGAACTATGGAATGGGCAACTGTATATTAAAGATAAAATGAATGCAACTGTATATTAAAGATAAAATCCTCTTCCATATTACAGAGTGACGGCAGGGATAGGTGGGGGTAGTCATGGGGAGAAACCACTTCAAAAACAGAAGACTCCCTGTTCCATACAGTAGCAACGCTAACTTAGGCTTTTAAGTTACCTCGTTCCAGTTACTCTTTTATAGTTGTCTTTGGAATGGACTGATAAAATACTGACTCCTGAACCAATGTTAACAACCAGCAATGGGTATGGATCATCCAGGTTAAAAGGCATCTTTTGGCATCTCTCAGGATCTGAGGCATTTTCAAAATAATAGCACTCTGCCTGGCCATTGAAGCTGACAGAGTCTATATACAATAAGCCTTTGACAAGGCAGTCAAGCTCATCCAGTTTGTGCAGCTGGAGGTTTCCAATCTGTTTTAAAAAAGAAAGAAGATGGTGTCAGCATGTTCTAACATTGCTCAAACTTGTTACAAATTTACAAGTATATTTGTACTGCCTAACTTTAAGAAGCTATCTCAGGTGACTAGGAACTGCAATCCCACTATAAACCCAACAAAGCATTCAGAAGTAAATTCTGAATACGTTAATTAGCAAATTACTCTGACTACAAATCTAGATCTCAGACTTAAATCAAGAACAGACAAGCAGTATAAATATCTGCTTTGGTAAGCCTAAAGATAACTTTTGAGATACTCAGACATTAATTCATTGAAAAATTAGTAACATTTTTAATTAATCTAAATCAAAACAGCTCACCAAATACCCTAGAGGCCCCAATGAGTGTCATCCTGGTGAAACTCACACATCTGCACATCTTTTCAAGGTTTGTGGGTTTCCTCCCCCATCTTAGAAGTCAAACAGTCATTTCTAAGATGTCAGCAGATAAAAACCTAAGATTAAAACCTCAATGGCATTGTACTAACTATCCTTGCAACTTTATTAAAACTCCAAGGATCAGAAGAAAACCACAGGTCAGAAATTCTACGGGACTTCAGGCTTGTTAGAGTTCTTCCTCAGTTTTGGATATGACATTTAAGATGCTGTTCTCTCATAAAGCAGAAAGACAAATTTCACAGGTGCTGTGGATTCCAGGAGGGCTGCAATATCACACCACACTTAATTTAATTCTGGGCTTTCACAAGGAGAGTGATCATGCTGTCTCCTTTACTTTAGCAGGGAGTTCCAATGGTTAGAAAGTCCAATTAGGCAGCTAATCCAAGAAAAAAAACCCATAAAGTCTCTCTCTGGATCAGGTGAGTTCACATTTAGAAAGCAGCCTGGAGTTAGATTATGAAGTTGCACAATCTGACTGGATTGCACACTGATGATTGACATTAGTACCAGATCACAGCACTGCCAATCCCCCTCTTCTTCCCTCAGGCCCTTCAGCTTTTCTTGACATGGCACAACTGTGAAGCTTCCCTGATGAGCAGGTCAAGGAACTGTTCCAACGTTAAATATTTCTGTGGGCTCTTAGATAATGAATTAGTTCTGCTGTACGATTGTGACCCTACCCCACAAACAGTCATACCAGCTCAATGCAGGACTGGCACAGGTATGGAAATACAAGCAGATTTGTGAAACCAAACATTGTGCGCTACTGAAAGTCTTGTCTCTTAGGAGAACAAGATGTCTGTAGCCACTTTAAAACTAGGACAGTTACACACTGGGTACTGTGATAAGGTTCTCAGTGAGTAACATCTTTGGATAGAAACTGCATCTAAATCAAATGATCAATTTTGATTGTCAAGGGAACAGTCCTCAGAAACACCTCAAGAAAATTCCAAACCACTCTGAAGTTGAAAAAAAGAGTGTCTTTGAGATAAGTGTTTTGTCACAGATCTCTACAATGCACTGGACTAAATTAATGAGGATAATCCCACCCACAAACATTGAAAACCTATCATCAAAGACTGCTTAGGAAAGAAAATCCAAAGTGACTCAAGCACCTCAGCAGTTTAAGCACATTTCCCATCAGAGAAAACACAGATTAGAAAATGGTTAACTTCCACAAAGATGTCCTGATTTCACTGTTATTAATGGAAGTTTCTAATTAGTTGTTAGCATCAGATCTTCAAGTTTATGACGGTAATGTCAGAAAGCGTATTTCTAGATTATCAAATATAAGACTGGAAAACAAATGAATAATTAATAAACTTTGAGAATTCCACAGTTTTTCAAAATACTGCTTATTTTACCCCATCATCAGCAATGCTTTTAGCATCAGCTTCAGTCTGAAGAAAGATAGGCTACCTACTGTGCGAAAGTCTTCTTCAAACTTGTAAGCACCACCGCCGGTGGCACAGAGCACCGTATGTAGTGTTGAAAAGTTTTTATTTCTTCCCATTTGGATAAAAGTAGGCAAATCATGAGTTGGGAATCGAATAAAGTGCAAGTTTCCTCTTCGAGCAAAAATCGTTAAGTCTTTCAGCTCAAGGTGGACATCTCGAATGCCAGTGGATCCATAGGCTACATTGGAAGTCAGATATTTGCGGATGCTCTTCAAGCTTTCAACTTCCTCCTGCTCCTCTTCTGCAGTGATATCAATAGGTTCAAAATAGGCAAGTTTCACCAGAGTTCCCCCAATGTCCATGCCAAACCATGGAAAAGCTGTGAAGATACAAGAATTGATCAATTAGCTTTGTTAAAGAGCAAATGCAATACATGTAACTTCAGACTAAATTAACACTATACTTTTCAACAAGACAGACATTACCAAAAATCCTCACAGTAACAAAGAGTTAGTACTAATTTCCATTACATGATTTTAAATATCCCTCTGGCCACAGGTAAAATGGAAAAATGAGCAACTCTATTTACACATTTCTGTGCTGTCACATGTGCTCAGAAAGCCCAACTAAAAACTCCCCAAACCATACCATAGCTCTTATACCAACTCATAAAGAAAATTCACACACACAGACCCCTTTTTTAAGAAGATTAAAATAACTTCCACTCCTAAAATAATAGTTTTGGCATAGTTTAGCACAAAGACTCGTAACAAAGCAGGTTACACATTACAGCTGGCAACAGTGGCAGGATGGATATTCCTCCTCTAACAGTTACCTTTTGCTCACATAACATGTTTGATTTTGAGAGGAAAGTATTGCATGTATTTTAAAAACTGCCACGGTGAAGAAGTCCAATTTATGGAGCTTAAGAGAGCTGTTCACATATCCCTTGAAGTTACAAAGGGCTAACAAAAAGTCCTATTAAGAAATACACGCAAGAAAGAAAATTAATATTACTGATATATTAGGAAATATCATCCTGATAAATTAATCCAGGCTGGGCAGTAAGTGAATTGGTAGCAGCCCTGCAGAGGAAGGCTTGGGGGTATTAGCAGATGGAATACTGACTATGATCCAGCAATGTGTGCTCGCAGCTCAGAAAGCCAACGGTGTGCTGGGCTGCACCCAGAGCAGGGTGGGCAGCAGGGCGAGGGAGGGGATTCTCCCCCTCTGCTCCGCTCTCGTGAGACCCCCCTGCAGTGCTGTGTCCAGCTCCGGGGCACCAACAGCAGAAACACACGGACCTGCTGGAGCGGGGCCAGAGGAGGCCACGAGGATGCTCAGGGGGCTGGAGCACCCCCCTGTGAGGACAGGCTGAGAGAGTTGGGGGGTTCAGCTGGAGAAGAGAAGGCTCAGGGGAGACTTTAGAGCAGCCTCCCAGTACTTAAAGGGGCTACAGGAAAGCTGGGGAGGGACTCTTGATCAGGGAGTGTGGGGATAGGACAATGAACAACTGTTTTAAACTGAAAGAGGGCAGATTTAGATTAGAGAATGAATAAATTCTTTCCTGTGAGGGTGGTGAGGCCCTGGCACAGGTTTCCCAGAGAAGCTGTGGCTGCCCCCTCCCTGACAGTGTTCAAGGCTGAGTTGGAACTAGATGATCTTCAAGGTCCCTTCCAACCCAAACCATCCTAGGTTTTTATGATCATGAGTAAGATGCAGTTATGTTGGACTTACATTACCAATGGGATCTATCCTTGAGAAGAGTGGCCTACCAAAATATTTTGTATTAATGTATTTAGTCAAGGCTGGCTATGTGCCAGTTCATTTATAACATGAGTGCAAAAGTTAAAAAGAAAAGAAACTCAAAAAGTTGCCTCAACTTTCAGGAATGGATGTCCATAGTGTTGTCAGATATTAACAAAAAAGATTGAGTCAGTAACCTTACTGAAAAACAATATTTAAATACAAGGATAAATTCTGTGAGTAAAATCTACCTCCAAGTGGGAATAAATAAATTCTATAAATCTGAGATCTAAGTATAAGATTAAGCATAAAGTCACATGTGAATTGACTTTACAACTGCATACCTGACTTCTCTGCACTGTGACTCTGGACATAAGAAAATTTGTCATCTTAATGTCTTGACCACAGTTAACTGATGATTTAAGTGATCTCACTAAGTTTCAGCTTCTTATTGTAAACAATGTCACGAGACCAATCCCAAAGAAGGGAAGTTGATTCACCCAGCAGACCAGAAAGTGTCTGTAGGAGTCAATCCAACTCATTCAGAATTTAACTGGGACACAGCAAGTCAAGTACTACCTAAATTACTTGGGATTCTTCCTGCTCAGTGGGCCTACTGAATAACTAGGATCTAGTCTTCCATAAAAAGAAAGAGGGGTAAACAGCTGAAAGTTCAAGTGATGAGCTGGAAGAAGATTTGGTGCAAGTCATGCCTGTTTGTCAGAAGATCCACCGCATCCCATGCTAAATGATCCAGTAGACTTTTGCAAATATAGCATTAGTCACACCTCTAAAAATCTTAAGGTTTATGAATCCTGTCTACCTAGTAAAAAACAAGAACAGTTGAACTGTAAGGTAATTTATTCCATAATTCAAATGAGAACGTATTTTAAGTTGACAAATAGGATCATGCTGTACAATACCAGTTTTCTGGGTTAACCAAGTGGTCTTAACAGCAACTTAAGAATTTTTGAGACTGAAGAAATAGGTTGGCTTTCACCTCTGTGACAAACTCCAAGAAGTTTCACATTCTTCTGTTGAAAATTTGTCAACATTTGGCTGGTAAGTACATTGCTCAAGTTTCATTTGCAAGGTGGAGGAGTTCTGAAGAGAACTGGGCCCACATACTGTTAACTTACTCCTTATACCAGCAAGCCAGAAGAAGATATTACACAAGGATTCTTGTGTATGTAAGCCTCTTGACTGATTTATATACAGGTCTAGCCAGGAAAATTAAAGCCATTTTATTTTCCAAACACAGAAGGGGATACACATACATATATATGGCAAGCACAAAATCAGTTGAACTGCAGCTGCACTTTTGGGACTGCAAGGATACAAGACTTATCAATGCTTGAGCTACCTTTAAGTATTAGAAATAGACTGATTCTACAGAGTTAGAATGTAATTGTACATGGACACAACATGGAAACCTTGTGAACTCTCCTATTGCTGCAGCCTCCAAATTAGTTTGCTTTGGGTGGATCTCGGCTCAGGATCGTGGAAGCAGGGGAATGAAGAAAACAAGAACTTGTGTGAAAACACCAGTTTCTCTTCCAATTACCAAAGAAATAATTTCATTTTCAGGATTAAAATAAGGCCACAGAGAGATTCAGGATGGAGGACTACTCAGGAAATATATTATGGAGAGCATGCTTGAATTTCCTACAAGACCTGCCCTCCATAGGGCAACCAGGCTAATTGTGGCAACGGCTGAAGATGACACCTCTCATTTATCATGCCATACAGACAAGGGACCTGTGCATTACTTTATACCACATACATAAGCACTCTCCTTAAGACTGCTATTGATATTGATATTGCTATTCTTTGAGGCATGTTTGAAGCACAAGTTTTTACTCTACATATGGTATCTGCAACATATATACCAGCATCTGTAGCTGGTATAGGCTCTCAAATCCAGGAAAAAATTAATTCTGAGGCAGTGTTGTATTTGAAAGCTGTCTTGGAACAAGATAAAAATAGCATGGCACATAGCCTGGACTGAGAATATATAAATGATTCTATAAAAAGTATTTTTATTTTCTTATCGGTGGGTCATGCTTGAGTGAGAGATTTAGGAGCAGAATGACAGCAGCACAATCTTTTGAAAAAAAAATAAATATCCCCAGATATCAACTTGATCCTTATGGCAGTCCTAGTTAAAGAAACACTTCTGGATGAGACCAGTACCAATTGCACAACCTTCAATCCAAGCCTATAGCTCTGCAGATACCAGGTTTGAGGAATTACACAACTGTAACCATCATTCCACAGCTTCAATTCATAAGAAGAATCAATGCACCTGCATTAAAACTGGGATCTTTCTGCAGCTCTATAGGGATTTGTTCATTAAAAGATTTCTCTCTGCTCTTCCTCTTGATAACTGTTCTTATTCCTAGGAAGACTCTACAAAAAGTGATGCACAGCTCAATTAGTTCTTGCTGAGAATTTAACTGCCATCACAGAACAAATCCAGTGCCCTGTCTTTTCAAAGTTCAGCTCCTCTCTGCAGATGTCAGCTGTAGTTTGAAAAAAGAAAAGCAGGAATTGAGCTTTTTACTCAACAAGCCCAATTGCTTTGGATAGACTACATAAACCTGCTTCAGGAACTCTGCTTTTAGGAAGTCAACCCAGGCTCTACTTAAGAATACATAAAATACATATTTTTACTATCTGAGAAAAGTAGAATACAAACTGGGAAGTCAAAACCCATATGGTTTAATGTGATATTTCACACCAAATTGAACTGTCTCGAACAGGACAGCAAGAGTATCATAATATCCAACCTCCTTAGCTCCAAATGCAGATTTTCTTTCACTCCCCAGCTCTGCCAGGAGCCACTATGATCCCTACATAGACACAGCAACCAGGAACCTTTGCTATAAAGCAACAGATTGTTCCATATATGTTGTGAAGATAGCTTTGAGAGACAACCTGCTCAGAGTGAAAAAAAAAACCCAATGTTTAAGAGGATTCCCTAGAACTGCTTCCTGCAGTGGAAGCGTGCTGTCACAAGGTGCTGTGGTCAAGTAACGATGCAGCAGTTCTGACTAGTAAGAAAACCCATGCTGATGGCTGTTGGTTGTCTTTTAATTATTCTTTAGAGCTACACAAGGAAGTCTCATTTGCTTATGTCTGCACTTCTCTAGTTCTTGCCATGCAGAGTTTCTGGCAGCAATTTTAAGGTTACTTATATCTTATCGTATAAGGTCTTTATATGCTAGAAGGAAATAATTACAGTAAAGTCTTTCTCATGCCAATACAAGCACAAAGGTTGAAGTGTCTTCCTCTTCTATGGGTTCTGCTTCAGCAGAGCAAAGGATCTTTTAAGTTCTTCATCCAGACCACATACTAGTATTTTGACTTTGTACACCCATTTTGGATCCAAAGCTGCAGGAGAAACACACTCAGACTTAACTACTTTGTCCTTTTTCAGTCAAGCATAAAATTCTTCAGTTTAAAAGCTAAATACAAATAGAGTGTTAAAGACTGAGAAAGAGATTACTGGTAAACTCTTTTCTATCAATGTAATGACACATTTGAAACACAAATACCTTTAAAATACTTCCTTCTCACTGTAAGATAACAGTCTGGGTCAACTCTGCATTAAGTTAAAAAGAACTAACCTTTGAAGAAGAGTCACTATCTCCTAATTCAAGCAGGGAGCTTTGCACCATAAAAACCAAATAAATCCACAGCTCTCAGTGACAGAACAAGCTATCAGATTGCCTCTGTAAGAAAGCTTACATATTATTAAGACATAAGACTGCTGCACTTCAAGTACAATTGTGGCTTGGGGAACAAATGCCAAAGCCTGCTGCAGTTAATGATTCTATACTGGCTTAAAATGCAAGAAAGGAAAATGACCATGAAATCAAACAAAAACTTAAGTTTACTTCTGTCAGCATTGCAGCAGTTACGAAAGTATGTGGTATGACCAAGCCTGATGCACAAAATTTATCTGCTAATTCAATTCGGTACATAGCCTTTGATAACAAAACTAACCTTGATCTCATTCTTATCTGATTACTGACAAGTTAGCTATATAAAAGTTATACTGAACTGTTACACAGTTAGTATTTATAAACACAGAAGCAGAACGTATCTTGCAGTTTCTCCAAATGCCTTTTCTTCTATGTACATGCATATATTCTTAAAATGCTTCCAGTATTTCCCTAAAACATCTGCATACAGCAGAGTAAAAATTGATGGTAAACTCCAGCACCTAAATCAGGTAGCAGTCTAAGGTAGCCAACATCCAATGGGAAAAGTTAAGAGAAAACACATCAAAGGTTGTTGAACTGCTACATCAAGCAGGATTAACCTGACGGCTAAGCAGCAAAGCACCTTTGCTGTACCACCCCATTACACAGATGTGTACCTACGAGCCTCTACAGAGCAAAACTGCACGTCGAGTATCCTTAGCCCCCGAATCACTGGAGAGTTTCTCTGCTTAACTAGTTTTGTAACAGGTTTTTGGTTCAAATATCCCAAATCCAGCTCAAAATAGATTTGGGGTGGACAGAATTAACACCCAAATTAAATGGATCTGACACGCACTGTCACATCCTCCCATTTCCCTCATGGGAAAACTTCTCCATCAGGCTCTGTAAGCTCACCACACTTTCCCACTCAGCCACCTCTACTCACGCTACAGAAAGGCCACGTTCACCAGTGGGAGGACAGGTGGTAATCGGCAGTTACTGTAACGCTCTTCATTAGGTTTATCAGATGTACAAGTGGATACCATGTAAAGCTAATACAAGACAAAATAACACTGCTTTCATCTTCTCCCTCCTTGCTCATTCTGTTAATTTTGTTGCCATTTCAGCAGCAATCCCTTTGGGGATAGGCGTTATTATTATAGTGAGATACAGAATCCAGAGGCATAATCTAACATTTACAGATGCAAACACAGTATAAACTGTGCCTGGCAGAATTAATCCATTCTTAGAAATACATTTTTCAATTGCAGTGAAATGATGGCCTGTAACATTTGCTATGGGCTAATCACCACCTTCCAAGGACTAAGAAGAAAATGCCACAAGACTAAGCAGCAAGTACTATGAACAGAAAAATCAATTTAAAAGAGATCGTGCAGCAACCTAAATGGATTTTTCATCAATTTTACTACAGAAATCCTGCATGGGATCACCACGTCCACAATGACTACACGTGCCTGTAGAACCACATCAGAGAAAACAAGATTTTCATCTTTTCTTTAGATTGATACAGCATTTTGCTAATCTTTACTATGTACTTGCATACATTAACATGTCTCAAATCGCCTCAAGGGAAATGCAGGCATTTGTTCTCAAACTGTTTTTAATAAACAATTAAAAGAAACAAACTGTAAGGAGTAACATACACTGCATACTAAATACTAGAAGTCTTTGCTTCCTTCAGCAGTCCGCTACACTCCAGAACCAAGATGAAAGCCTCCACCCCCCCTGAAAAGCACAGCATGCTGGCACCTTCCTCCCCCGGGGTGCCTCGCCTTCCCCCACCAACGTGAAGAACTTTCTCTGGATGAGTGGCTCCTCTCTTCCCTTTAGACAGATCTCACACAGCAGCGCTTCTGTGAGACTCTTTGCCCTCACATTTATCATCTTCACCCCCAAATAACCTTTGGAAGTTTCTCTTATAATTGCCAGTCACTCTTCCCCATACGCATTTCCTCAGAAGAGCTATAACGCAACTGGTGGTTGGCAGGGTCCTCTGGAGGTCAGCTAGCCCAACTTCTCAGTCACACTAGCAGGAAAACTGCCAACACCGGATAAGGTCAACTACAGCTTTGTCCAGCCAAGGCTTGAAGACCTCTGAAGTTTATCAAGAATCCTCCAAGAATGGAGACTCCACAACCCTCTCCAGCTTCCACTGCTACACTAACTACTTAGCACAAGGTTTTCCTAATTTGAATCTGTTATCCTCCTTTAAAACACCTATCACCTCCCATCACCTGCAGAAGAAATTTAAATGACCCTTTACTAGCCTCTTTCCAGACAGCCAATCTCAGAAGCCATGTTCCATAAATTCAGCTGCATTTCTTACTGCTTTTAAAATAACAAAGTAGCAACAGCACTAGTCAGGTGAAGATCTGACTAGGGTGACTGCACAAGCATGTCTAGGCAGTGTATCCACATCAGAAATTCTGAATATGTTAAGTGTTTCACCCATTTCACCCTCACCTCTCTTAGGGCAGACATGGCACTTCATAGAACCATGCTTCCTCTCATGATGCTAAACATCACAGATAAAAGCACAGGTAGGCTAAAGCAATCTTCTCAACTCCACTTTGCAGGCTCTTACAACAGACTAGTGATCTCTTGTTAAATAATGATTAACCATTTCCCCCCTGCATCAAATTTGGCTCCAGCACAGATGATTAAATACTCACCTCACCTAAGAAAAGTATACCTGTTCAGCAATTGTACTGGTGTCTACAACAGTCTTAGCCAAATAATTTATAACTAGACAGTCTAAAAGTGGTATTGTGAGCCCAACTCAGCTTTCAGATGAATTTGACCATATGAGCCAAACTGATAGCAGTATTTGGGCACCAAAGCCTAAACATCAATGGACTTTTCCATCTTCAGTGCTTTTGCAGATCCGCTCCTCTTCAAACATTCCAGCTGCTCTCCCACTTCAGGCAGTGTTACTAACCAGGAGTAGAGATCTGCAGAATGAGTCTAAAGTTCATCACCTATGAAACTAAGTGCTATTACCTTTTAAAAAAGCCAATAGCTTCAAACTATGTTAAAGAGTCAAGATGAAATAAACAATGTAGTTACAAGTAGATTCCCATCATAAAACCAACATCAAAGTTCAGGTCCAAGAACTGGAAAAATGCAACTACAAATTTAGCGTATCTAAGTATTTAAAACTCCTTGATAACGTTTTGCATTGTTATCTAAACATGACTTCTAAATCCACCACTACAGAAAATAAGTCTCTGAGGCCCAGCAGAGACACTCCTGAAATTTAGCAGTTTTTGCAGTAGAAGCAGCCATACTCTCACCATTCTAAATTACTAAACCACTGTAACATCTTACAGCCAACTACTGCTTCAGTCTTGATACCATCCCTTAAACTTTATACCTGGGAAAAAAAATGCTGTCTGAACTGTACTCTTCATAAACGTGATTACAGTCAATTCAGCAATTTCCACACACTGGTATAAGAGGTGATGGCTAACTGGGTGCTACGAGATATGCATCATTTCGGGTTTCCTTAACACACCACAAGAAACAAAGTATTTTCACAGCCAAACTCGACTCTTCTCTACAGTATCTCATCTTGAATATGTCTTTAAATATGATGACAAATTAAAAACAGCCTCACTCGGCGGAGTAATACCTGCATTCCCTTAAGCTAAGGTACCCCTGTGTCAGCTTGACAGTTGTGTTGACTTGCACAGCTGTGTCAGGAAAACACCGCGTGTGTGTAGACTAACTTTACCCAATCCAATTCTCTCTTCCCACAAAAAAAGGGCCCGTAGTCTTAGACATTTTGTTTGCATTCACCTGAGTCTGAACCATGTTTGTGCCCTCCAAAACAAATATGGTACTCCAAAACAATAAATAGCAAGAAATATTATTACAGAGTTGGGCTTATTAAAGGGGAGCATTCAGCGCATTTTACTGAAAGACTTGTACCCAAATGCTAACAAATAGTCTGAAAAAAAATATATCAAAAGCCGCTTAGCCGTTAAAACCCGGTTAAAAATAGCACCCATGCACCAAACCCGATTCTATTACTCTGAGCAGAAAGAGAAGCTCTTTCACCGCAAGCCCCGGTCTGTAAAACCGCCTGAACCGGCTCAAGAGGGGCGCAGGGAAGCGAGAAGAGTCTCGGCGGCCCCTTCCGGCGCCGCGGGTCGGAGCCCCCCGCCGGACC